ATAAAACTTCTAGAAGAAAATATAGGAAAACTCTATATGACTTTCCAGTAGGCAAAGATTCTTTAGATGGGACACAAAAATCATGAATTGTACAAGAAAACATTGATGCATTTTTTGCAATGGGCACTGTGATTTGTCACTAGACCCTTCTTCAGAAATTAGGTATTTGTGACCTCAGCTGTGAGAATTGCCACCAGCAGACAGCCCTCAGCCCTTGCAGATGGACCCTAAGGGACTGCCTTGGCTGAAGGAACTCCCCTGACCCTTACCCATGGGTACACTCATCCTCCAGGCAGCTTGCATCCGGCGACATTCAATGGGGACATCAAGGCCTGGCCCTATTGCCCCAACTCAGAATAGCTTTAGAAGGTCACCTTACCACCAGAATATCCCAGAGGGTCTACTGAAGCACAGTACTGAGGCTGAGTGGTCCTGCCTCTTTCCCTCCAACATCCCTAAAAGGCACACCTCATACACCTTCTGCACTCTAATTTCCATCTCAGAGTTGGCTTCCTGGGAATCCCAACTTGAGACACTGGCCCTCATTAAAATTAAAATCTGTTCTTTCAAGGACACTGTTAAGAAAATGAAAAGGCAAGCCACAGAATGGGAGAATACATTCACACTCAATACATATATTCATCAAAGACCTGTATCCATAACACACAAAGAACTCTTACTACTCAAGAATAGAAAGTCAACTCAAAAAAAAGGGTAAAAGTTTTGAACAGAAACTTCACAAAAGTATCTATGGCTGTAGTCAGTGAGAACATGAAAGCCCAATAAGGATAAGAATACGCAAATGAGCACAGAACATCCTGTGGTGCCAGGGAGCAAGGAGGGGCCCCAGATCAAACCAAAAGCCACAGTGATGGGGCATGTATTAGTCAGTTCTCACACTGTTGATAAAGACATACCTGAGACTGAATAATTTATAAAGAAAAAGAGGTTTAATGGACTCTCAGTTCCATGTGGCTGGGGAGGCCTCACAATCATGGCAGAAGGCAAAAGGCACATCTTATATGGAGGCAGACAAGAGAGAATGAAAACCAAGGGAAAGGGGAAACCCCTTATAAAATCATCAGATCTCATGAGATTTATTCACTACCATGAGAACAATATGGGAGAAACAGCCCCCATGATTCAATTATCTCCCACCAGGTCCCTCACACAACACATGGGAATTATGGGAGCTACAATTCAAGATGAGATTTAAGTGGGAACATAGCCAAACCATATTAGGGTGTGACAAAAGGACCCAGCAACCAACTGAAGGAGCTCCCAATGGCCAAGGCTGGAAACTTTGAGTGACAAAATAATTAACTAAATAATTAATAATTAAATATGTAATGAAAATATTTAACAAAATAATTAGCTAAATTATTAAATAATTAATCCCATGAAGAATTGGATTATAATCCAAAGTATACAACAGATATCCATGAGTCCATACTGATATAAATAAATGATTAGATAAATAAATACACGGGGAAGAGTAGACAAATCCCCCACACAGGAGAACTCCAAATAATTTAGATAGCCATTCTCCTAGAAGGAGATAAGCATATTTTCCCTTTTTTAAAGTGTAGGCTACAGATAGTGACTTCCAAAAAAATGCAGCAGAGAAAGAGAGGGGAAAATTACTTTATGGTGGAGAAACCTACCAACACTGCCCCAGCCAGGTGACCAGGACGAATACCATCTGTGATAAGCCATGTTGATAGTGTGCACCCTAGATAGGATGGGATGGGAATAGCTCTTTCCGTCGGCAATCTTCCTTACAAAAACACACCATTCCAGTAGGATCATGAGGAACACATCAGATGAATTTCAGGAGAGGACATCTTACAGTATATCTGACCAGTAATCAAAGTGTCAAGGTCATCAAAAACAAGGCAAGCCTGAGAAACCCTCGCACCCAAGAGGAGATATGACTAATTATAATGTGGTACCCTGGATGGGGTTCTGAGACAGAAAAGGTATGTTAGGTCAAAACCGAGAATAGATCAAGCATAGACTTTAGTTAATAATGATGTATCAGTATTGGTTAATGTATCAATAATTGTTATTTCCGTACTAATTATTTATGACAAATATACCATGCTAATGTAAGATGCTAGGAATGGTAAATTTTGTGTGGGTTGTATGAGAACTCTCTGTGTTTTTTCCAACTTTTCTGTGAGTCTAAAACTATTCTAAAATAAAAACACTTAGTTTTAAGAATCCATTAAGCATATCATTAGTCATCAAGGGAATGCAAGTTGAAACCACTATGAGACACCACTCCACAGACACTAGAGTGGCTTAAAGGAAAAGGATCAGTAACATCAAGTGTTGACAGGGATGTGGGAGTGCCTAAAACCCTCACACACTTCGGGAAGGAATGTAAAATCCCACGACCAATAGGGAAACAATTTGATAATTTTTTATAAATCTAAAAAAACCCACTTGATTATTTGACCCAGAAATCTCACTTGTAGATATTTACCCAAGTAAAATCAAAGCATATGTCTATCCAAAGTCTTGTACATGAGTGTTCTTAGCAGTTTTATTCATTATAGTCCCAAACTGGAAACAACCCAATCAACGTCCATCAGCTAGTAGTGACTGGATAAACAAACTGTGGTCTATTCATGCAATGAGAGACCACCCAGCGATGAAAAGGAATGAATGACTTATGCATTCTACAACACAGATGGACCTCAACAACATTATGTCAAGCAAGAGAAACCCGGCAGAAAAGGGGGTGTACTGTATGCTTCCACTTATGTGAAATCCTAGAACACGCAAAAATAATCTGTAGAGATAAAAAGCAGATCAGTGGTTGCTGGGGCAAGGATGGGGAAACTGGCCTGACTGCAAAGGGACACAAAGGAGCTGGCCCAGTGATGAAATTATTCTCTATCTTAGTTGTGGAGGTGGTTACCCAAGTCTACAAGTTTATCAAAATCATCAAATTGGGTACTTCAAGTGGATGCATTTTATTGTGTGTAAATTGTACCTCAATGAAGTTGATTTTTTTAAAAAACAAAAGCAACAACAACAAAAAAATTGAGAGGCTAACTGGAAAGACATTACTTATACACCTTATATATATTTTTATATACATTTTTATATACATACATTACATATATATATATATATATTTTTTTTTTTTTTGAGACAGAGTCTGACTCTGTGTCCCAGGCTAGAATGTAGTCGTGCGATCTTGGCTCACTGTAGCCTTGACCTCCCTGGTTCAAGTAATCCTCCCACCTCAGCTTACATAGTGGATGGACCACAGGTGGGTGCCACCACACACAGGTAATTTTTTTTTAGTTTTTTTGTTTGTTTTGGTAGAGATGGGGCCTTGCTATGTTGCCCAGGCTGGTCTCAAACTCCTGAACTCAAGTAATTCTCTCACCTCCATCTCCCAAAGTTCTGGGATTACAGGCAAGAGACACCGTGTTTGGCCAGAATTTTTAAAACAACATTATCGGAGCAGGGTGTGGCGGCTTATGCCCGTAATCCCAGTCACTTAGGAGGACTAGGAGGGAGGATTGCTTGAGGCCAGGAGTTTGAGATTAGCCCAGGCAACACAGCGAAACTTTGTCTCGAAGACAATAACAACATCCAATTAGCAGGAGTGGTGGCGTTAGCCTGTGGTCCCAGCTACTCGGGAGGCTGAGGTGGAAATATCGCTTGAGCTTAGGAGTTCAAGACCAGCCTGGGCACATGGCAAACCCCATCTCTACAAAAAGAACAAAAATTAGGCGGGTGTGGTGGTGTGAACCCATGGTCCCAGCTACTCGGGAGGCTGAGACAGGGGAATCGGTTCAACCCAGGAGGTGGAGGTTGCAGTGAACTGAGATCGCACCACTGCGCTCCAGCCTGGGCGACAGAGGGAGACTCCGGATCTTTAAGAAACCAACAAGTAAACCAACCAACCAACCAAACCACTGCAGGCGCCTTCCTCTGTGCTGGTGTTTCCTGCTCTCTTCCTCCTCCCGTGTGTCCGTGTGTGTACCCACAGCGGTAAACGCACGAGGTGTGTCTTAACACGTATCTCCAGCCCCATCACCATCTCTCTGAGTTCCAGACCCTTTTTACAAAAGGCCACTTGACATCCTCACGTGGTGCCTCAAAAGCTTCTTCAACCCAACCTGCAGAAGCCAACCTCTCCACTTTCCACTCAGTGCAGGTTCCTGGTCCACCTCTGTCTGAAGGAACGGGGGGCCAAGGCTGCAGGCTCCTTCCCTCCAAGGGCTGTCTACACGGCTCACTTTCCCTTGCAGATTTATCTCCCTCCCGGGGAACGTTCTTTGCCTCTGATGCCCACAGTCTTAGCCTAACACAATCCTGCTCCCAGCCCCTAGTGCTGTGTAGCCTCCTTGCCTCTAGGAGTTAACCTGGGCACCCTGAGTTCTCTCCTTCACAGCTAGTCTGACCGTTTTTCAAATGTTCACCCACTCAGGACACCGTTCCGTGGTTTCCCGGAACAAGACCAGCTCCTGCGGTCCCCGCCCCCACCTCGCACACCCGGGACCTGGGCCTGGTCTCCCCCTCCATTTGCGGAATGGGCTGGCCTCCCTTCCGGTCCGGGCCTCAGTGCCCGTTCTTCACTCCCCTGCCTCCCTCCCTGCCCTTCCCAGCCCGGTTCACGTCGACTAATTTCAAATTCCAAATTCCAAACTTCCCCCCTACCAATGCTTTCCTTCCCCACGCTCAGATCTAATCAAATCAAATCTTCCTATTTGCTACTCTCACGGCACCACACCTCCCTTTTGCTGGCACTTAATTGTAATTATGAATTTTTTTTCTCAACGATTAGATTGATCAATCAACCACTGACATGTATGAACCGGGGCTTCACGGTGGGCCCCATTTGACAGGCAAAGGACTGGCCCAATGACCTTCCAAGCCCTGTCAGGCCCGCCCCAGCTGGCCCCGCCCCTGACCTCTCCCGTCACGTGATGGCCTCACCGCCTTTCAAGAGGGAGCGCGCGAGGCTGCGAGCAGTCAGTCAGCTTTCTGCCGGGCTCTGAGCTAGGACCGCTGGGTGCTCCCTCCCGCCTGCCTGGTAGGGGGCGCATTTGAGGGCGACATCGGAGCCACAGCCGTGATCCTGTGGACACCTCCAGCTCCTCGGGCCTCTCCTCATAGAAGAGAGCCAGCTGCACGGAGATCAGGTGTGTGTCTGGGTGTCCCTGAGGGGTGGGTAGAGTTTGCGTGGGTACAGGTGGGAACAGAATCCTCAGTGCTCTAGAAGGGCGAGGCCACATCCCTTGTCACCACTACCTTCTTCACAACTCTGTTCCCCATCCTCCATCTTCTTTCTCTCTTCCGCTAAGGAGGGATCATTCCTCCAGGAGGCCTAAGTCTCCCCAGTACAAGCTTTGCCTGAAGAAACTGGGATAATTAATCAAGCCGCCTGTAGGCCAGTCCCTGCTTGCTACTGGCTCCCCCTTGGAAATCCCTTACAGTGTGGAAGTCTCCCCCCACCCCAACTCCCACCTTCTTCACAGGATCCCCTTGACTGCGCCCCGCCGGCTCTGTGCAAATGCTCCGAGGCACGCGAGCGGCGGTGGCCCTGGAGGAGGGGGTGAGGTAGGGTCCACATCGCTGCGTGACGCTTGAGAAATTAGGCTGTGGTTTAACACCCTGACTGACCCATTTTCCTCCCCGCTCCCTCCCGCAGATTCCTCATGGAGGAACCAAGGCGTTCGAAACGACTTCGCTCCATGGCCCCTAATCAAGGTACCGTCAAACATCCACCATTCTCTTTAATTTTTTCCAGATTTTTACTTTACTTTTGGTATCGACTTATAGAACTTAGATATGCAAATGTGACATGTTATGAAATGCAGCAGCCCCTGCTCCTTCTCAGTCTCCCGCACCTTTGGGACCACCACCTCCATTACCACCAAGTAATGGCTAGAAGTAGCCATTACTTCTAGCATTTCCTCTCATTCTTTAAATAATATGCGTACCCTACTGCTATTTCTTTTTCCGTTTAGACTTTATTTATGGTCTTCCCGCTAGACTAGTGGAGTATTTAGCTGTAGTTCACATATTCCCACCACCACCACCACTCACCCAGCCACACCCATCCCAGGGCACACACCCTGTGCTCCTCCCCCACTGCCCAGGAGCCAGGAGGACGCTAGGATTACTTTGCACCTCTTGCATAACTTGAGTTTTCCAGGACTTAATATTTCTCCTCGGTTATTATGTGTTCACTTATCACGAGTCCATTCCCCAATTCTTCCCCAATTGCTTAAATTCAAACCCAATTAAGCATTCTTTCAGTTTCACTTTCTCATAGCCTGCTCCAACGGGGACTGGCTGCTCCGAGTCAGCTCCCAGCTGCCACTCCAGGATCTCCCTTCCATATCATCTGGGAAATTCCTTTTCCTCTTTTGAATTTTATCCAATTTCCTGTCTGGTGTCTTTTTCTTTCTTATTTTACTTTTTCTCTTCGGAAGAGTGAGTTCTCACACTATGTCTCGATCTGTGTATGATAAACCAGTACTCTCACCTTGTTCTTTTCTGGAGGTATTGGAATTTGATGGCCATTGCCAAATTACTCTTGAAAACATTTCCCTTCATACACTGTCCTAAATCTTTTAATCTTGTCTAGTTTGATAGACACATTACAGTAAAGCATGCCTTGAAGGGAAATTATTTAAGATCTTGCTTGTCTGCAAACATCTTCGTTTTAATTCCTAAGGGATACTTTGGTTGGATATCAAATTTTGGGTGGGAAATCCATTTCATTCAAAAATTTTGAAGACATTTTCTATTATCTTCTAGATTTAATTGCTGCTTTTGAGCTGTCTGATTTTTGAGACATGTTGAATCTTGACCCTTTCCATATTGCCTTTCCTCTCTTTCTCTTTCTCCCTCTCTGGAAGATTTTAGAATCTTTCGTTGTCACCACTACTCTGGAATTTTATGGGGATGTGTCTCAGTAACAATACGCTTCTAATTTTCTTTTATTTTATCTTCCTTCCTTTCCATCATTTTGGATTTAAGCTCTCTTTTCTGGGAGATCTTCTCAACACTATCCTCCAGAATTTCCATGGAGATTTTTATTTCTGCTTTCACAATTTTAATTTCAAAAAGCTGTAGTTTTTCTGAATATTCCTTTTCAAAAGTACCCTATAATTGATTCATGGGCAAAATTCCTTCTATCTCTCTGGGGATATTAATTATAGATGTTTTTGGAAAGTCTCATCTGTGGCATAAACTGTTTCCTCCAAGTTGGCTTTTTTTGTGTTATTGTTCTATCTCTTGTGTTAGAGCCTTTCCTCTGATGTTTGGCGATCTCTGATTGCTGTTTATAGTTTAAAAATGGGACCTGGAAGAAGCTGTTGGGAGCCCCAAGCCTGTGGATGGGGCTTGTTGATTGGGTTCCACAGAATATATATGGTTGGGCTATGTAACTGGGCAACCCTAGATACCAGTTTCTTGGGACTTTTTCTTAGGCTACACAGGTTTCCCTAGGAGGAATATTCAGATGATCTTCAATGCCTGCTCTGTCACTGATAAAATTTCTGTAGACATCTGTCTAGTTTTGGACTTCCTGTTCTGTTCCATTTGCTCAATCATGTATCTGTGTGAACACCTCCCCTCCCTACCAAACTAGCTTATAGCTACCCTAGGCTTCTTTCCTCCTGGAAGCCATACAACTACCCCTGGCCCCCCTGTCACCTGGAATCCTATCCCTCCCTGCTATCCCTACTAATCCTCTCTCACCTCTGCCTTTCTAAATCCCACCCATCATCCTTGATATCCCCAGCTTATGTTAACTTCTCCAATAAGACTTTCTGATCATCTCCTTCCCAATACATGTTAAGAAGCTTACTTGAACCAGACACTAATCTAAACATTTCTCTTCTAGTAACTCAGTTCTTTTAAGGACCCAGGGGTTGGCATGTTATTATACCAATTTATGAAAAGGGGCACTGATGCTCAGATAAGTGAAGCTGCCTGGGAATACAACCCCAGCATTCTGGATCTGGAGCCACCTCCCTTATGATACCCTTCACCTCCCAGCTGGTCACTCATTAGCATCATTCATTTTTAGGTGTTCTGTTTGTCTCTCCTACTGAGGTTTAAGCACAGCAAGGGCAGGCAATGTGTTATTTTTATTCAAACTCAGCCTCTGCAGGGAACCATAGACTCATTTACTTATTAGTAAAATGGCGATCATAATATCTGACTGACAAGGTCATTGCAAGGACTTGAGAGGCTCATGGAAAGTGCTGAGCCCAGGCTAGGCCCTTGGACAGACAGTGCTCCTGAGGGCTCACCCTGCAGGCATCTCCTGACCTTCACTCTATTTGCCTGGGTTTCCCTGGGCCCTCCCTGAACCCCTCTCCTTGTCTCCCTTCCTGAAGGCTTCCTGGGTGGCCACTACTCCATCTCCTCACACTCTGCTTCTCTTTTAGCTTCAGGTGGGCCTCCTACAGAGCCAGGCTGCTCTAGTATGGACCATGAAGACCCTGTAGAGCCAGTCCAACCTGCAAAACCCACTGCTTATGTGAAACCCATGAGATGGGAGCCCCCAGCTCGCGCAGAGCTGGCTCGTCCTGCAGGAAGAGGCCGGCGCAGGGGAGGAAGCTGGTGGGCAGGTCGAGCCCGTGGCAGTGGGGCCTTGCTCCACAGGGTCCCCGGCCAGAGAGAGGGGCCAGACGTGTACATCCATCTGAACTACCATGGAGAGCCAGGCCACCAGGGGGAACCGGAAGCCGGGCAGAACCCAGCCTTCTCTTTTACTGAAGCAGCTCCTATGCCCGGAATTGTGCAGGAAGGCCCCGGTCCCCATGCAGCCCAGCCTGAGGTGGGGTTTCAGGAGCCACCTCCTGCTGGGCCTGTGGCTGTGGCCAGGCAGCCCATGTTGGCCCTCTATCCCTGTATCGGGTTCAGGCCTCTGGGTGGCTCAGCTTTTTTGCGCATCATGCAGACCTCCAGTGGCACCTACGTGCACAGGGTCCCAGTGTTCCTTGCCCACATTGCACACTAACCTCTGTCACCCATATTGCTGCCAGCCTCCCTTTCTTCCACCTGGACTTTCCCCCATCCCCAAACTCTAGCCCCATTTCTGCTCCACTCATCCCTGCCCATCCCAGCCAGGGCCCTTACTTTGTGTTGTCATGCGCCTCCAAGTCCTCCTCCCAGGATCCTGACATTAGTCCATCTGCTTCCAATGTCCCTCTTGCCTCTGCTTTGTATGTTCTGTCAAAGATACAGATGCATGGAATTCCTCAATACTTATTCAAATAAACCAGCAGCTCCCTAAGTCCTTTTATTGTGCTTATATTAAAAGCCAATTAAAGATACTTGGGATGAAAAACAAGGTTGTTGGAATCCAAAGTTATGTTGATGATTTGAATCACAGAATAGATAGGACTGAGGAATAAAAAACTAGATATTTGGGCAAGAGAGAGATAGAGAATGTGACAGAGCAGTCACCCAGGGAGCTCTCCTGTGGATCCACAGGTCATCTAACGTGGAGCTCCCCAGGGATCCATCATCCTGGGAATCAGAGGTCATGTAACATGGAGTTCTCCTGGGATCCATTGTCCTGAGGATCCACAGGTCATGTAAGGTGGAGTTCTTCTGGGATCCATTGCCCTGAGGATCCACAGGTCATGTAATGTGAATCTCTTATGGGATCCATTGTCCTGAGGATCCACAGGTCATCTAACATGGAGCTTTCCCAGGATCCATCATCCTGAGGATTTGCAGGCCATCTAACATAGAGCTCTCCCAGGATCCATCATCCTGAGGATCCACAGGTCATCAAAAATGGAGCTCTCCTGCAATCCATTGTCCTGAGGATCCACAGGTCATCTAATGTGAAGCTCCCCTGGGATCCATCGTCCAGAGGATACTCAGGTCATTTAGCATGGAGCTCTCCCGGGATCCATTGTCCTGAGGATCCACAGGTCACCTAACATGGAGCTCCCCCAGGATCCATCATCCTGAAGATGAGAGGTCATCAAATATGGAGCTCCCCTGGGAACTGTCATCGTAGGTATCCAGAAGTCATCTATCGTGGAACTCCCCTGAGATCTGTCATCCTGCGGATCCACACATCATGGGATGTGGAGTTCCCTCACAATCTGTCCTGAGGATCAGAGGTCATCTAACATGGATCTCCCTCGGGATCCATCGTCCTGGGTATCCACAGGTCATCTAATGTGGAACTCTGCTGGGATTCATTATCCTGAGGATCCACATGGCATGTGACGTGGAGCTCCCTCATGATCCATTGTCCTGAGGATCAGAGGTCATCTAACTTGGAGCTCTTCCGTGATCCGTCATCCTGAGGATCCAGAAGTCATCTAACATGGAACTCTCCCAGGATCCATCATCCTGGGGATCCACAGGATCCATCGTCCACAGGATCCAGAAGTCATCTAACATGGAGAGCCTGAACATTTGGATGACAGCAAAATACGAGGAAATTATGGCTATATGAATTCTCCCAATGAAAGAAAGATGTGAATCCTTAGCAGGCTACAAGAATAACACCCTTTGGGAGTATGAAGTATGGTAGAGAGAACATTCCAAAAGCTGCCTGAAAGCTGAGACCTGCATGGAAAGCAGAATTAGGCTCACAGTAGACTTTGCGTGACAGCATCAATGACTGTGGAAAGCAGCGGTGCAACATCCTTAGAGCTTTGAGAGGGAAGTAACTCCGAATCTAGAATTCTATGATCAATCAAATGTTTTGGAGGAGGAGTGAAGGAGGCAAGAAATGTCAGCTCAAGGACAAGGCCTCATGAAGAAAGAGCCTACAGAAAAGGGACAAAAAGCCAGACTCCTACTCAGACTGGACCTGAAGCCTGAGCTTCCCCCTGAACTTAGAATACACAACTTATAATGTGTAAGCTACTAAACCGCTTTTCTGTTCAGGGAGGTCTGAATTCAGCTGTTATGTATGGCAAAAGTATGAATAATGTTTTTCAGCCAGGAGAAAAGAAACAAAAAATCCTAGAAAAAGTGGGATGCAAGAAGAATCAGAAAGCAAGGAAATTCGTTAGCTATATTATTAAGTCTAGATAAGTATGATTCTGGAAGAAAGATCTGGAACGGCGATCTAGAATTAAAATTCCAAAAGACTTTGACATAGACATTTGGGGCATGGGGGACTTCAGAAAGAGCTAGACGTTATTAAAGTTCTTGTCTAGCTCCTGGAGATGACCTAGAGGCTGAATATAAGAGAACAATGAAATTCTAGACTCTGACACATTTATAAGTCGAAGTGTATGTTTCTATTGGGAACCACAACATGAATTAGAATAGAATGTAAAATTTCAAACAGATTAAGGAAAAGGGGGATCAAAGAAAATTTGATAATTCAAACAAGAGGCATGGGAGGTTAATAGAAACAAGGAGAGAGTGTGACATACTTACGGTGCTAAATAAGGAATCAGTAATTTGATGGCTTCATCCTTAGCTTCCTCCTGGCTTTAACGGAAATATTTTAAATGTTTCACCATTAAGCAACATATTTGCTGTAGGTTTCTCACAGATGTTTGATCAAATTGAGGTAGTTCTAATTTTTTTAGAATTTGATAAAAGGTGTATTATGAATTGGATTCTGTATTTTATTAGGTAGGCTTTTATTAGCTGATTTTGAGTCACTTGTAAGAGAAAATGTCCAAGTAACATGAAGAGAATTTTTCCCATCAAAAATTTTTGTCTTGTGTATTCAATCCTCTTAAATAAACCCTTCTCTTTGACTTTTTTTACTATAGCTCTTTTACTAAAATTTCACAAATTATGAATATAGAATGTCTTTACCAAAACCAGAAAAAAGAGACAAAAGGTAGAAAAACAATGTCTGCTGCCTCTATTCTTCATTCCTATTGTATCTTTCCCCATAATCATATGAGTCTATACAAGCAAATGTGTACATTAAAAGTATCGTTTGTGGTTTGATTTTACAAACACCCGGCATGCCATCCACCAGGGGTCATGCTGAAGTGACTACAGGGTCCAGGCAGGCAACCCGGGTGTGGCAGATGTGGTGGGGACCAGCGCCTCTCTTGAGCCCATGCCCCCTCCAAAGTGGGCAGAGGCAATTTAGTATTGAAGCACAGCATGAACCCCAATGAGCACACTGCAGTGGGAGCTGCTTCTTAGTTTGCCACTGGGGTCTGTCATGCATAAGCCTACAAGCACCCTCTCAGACATCCTATGCTCATGTGCCACTATCTCCTTGCTGGATATCTGTCTGCAAGATGAACAGGCTTTACGTTGTGCAGGCAACGGTCTGCCAATAGATTGCTTCCAGGGCGTTTCTACTACCAAAATGCTTCACTAAATATTTGTACATGGTGTAAGACTGGGTCTCATTCTGTTGCCCAGGCTGAAATGTGTTGCAATCAAGGCTCACCACAGCCTCCACCTCTCGAGCTCAGGTGATCCTTCCACTTCAGCTTCTTCAGTAGCTGGGACCACAGGCATGCACCACTATGCCTGGGTAATTTCTGCATTTTTTTGTAGAGACAGGGTTTTGTCATGTTGTGCAGGCTCGTCTTGAACTCTTGAGCTCAAGCAATCCACCCCCTTTGGCCTCCCGAAATGCTGGGATTACAGGTGTGAGCCACTGCACTTGGTCTTTTTCTTTTTAACTTCGTAAAATAAATTCTCTAAGTGAGATTCCTATGCCAACCAGTACGGCCATATTTTATTTTATTGATTTATTTTTAAATTTAACGTTTAAGTTAAATTAGACCCCAGTGTGTGTTGTTCCCCTCTATGTGTCCATGTGTTCTCATCATTTAGCTCCCACTGATAAGTGAGAACATATGGTATTTGGTTTTCTGTTCCTGTGTTGGTTTGCCAAGGATAATGGCCTCCAGCTTTATCTGTGTCCCTCCAGAGGACATGATCTCATTCTTTTTTGTCATGGCTTCATAGTATTCCATGGTGTCTACCACATTTCCTTCATCTAGTCTATCATTTATGGGGACTTAAGTTGATTCCGTGTCTTTGCTATTATGAATAGTGCTGCAATGAACATATGCATACGTGCGTCTTTATAATAGAATGATTTATATCCCTTTGGGTATATGCCAGTAATGGGATTGCTGGGTTGAGCCATGTTTTATTTTAATAAATACTAAGAAATTGTATTCAAATTAGGTGGCATCAATGCCAATTCCAACCTGCAGTGATAAGGGCACCTCTTCCCCCCACTATCTCCCCAGCAATGAATGTTGGGACTCTCTAATTTTTGCCAATCTCTTGGATAAAGGTATGTTATCTTGTTATCATTCTAATTTGAATTTTCTTGGCTACTAATAAGGTTTAGTATCTTTGTATGCATTTATTGGCCACTTTTGTATCTTTCTCCGTTAGTTGCTAATATATCTTTTTTACACAATTTTTTGTTGGATTTTATATCTTTTGTGTATCAATTAGTAGGAACTCATGTTAGAAATGCATAAGTGCTACAGGTGATTTTCCCATTCCAACCTTCCTCTTTAGGCATGGCTTGGGCCGTCTTTGGCCTGCCTGTGTGCCCAGCCTCAGCTCGTAGTAGACCTCTTCCTTTGGCCCCGTCCCCTAGGTTGGTTTTCTGGCTCCTGGCCTGGGCTCTGCTCCTGCCACCTGAGGGCCAGAGAGCCACATCTGCCACACAGGTGAACACCTTGCAGTGACAACAGTGTGGAAAATGATTTTCTGATCATTTCAAGATCACTCTCAGTTGTTTCAAGATTTGATCATAGTTCATGAAAAACTTGGCCAATTCACAGGTTCACTGCTAGCTCAGGGCTCCCCTACTTCTCTTTCTTGGAGGGACTTGCCAAGATGCAAGCATCAGGAGGCTCTTCCAGTCCTAGGGAGACATCAGCATTCTAGATCCACTGCTGAGAGGTCTTTCTGCTTCTATTCATGGCACTCTGGGTCCTCTGATCTTCCAGATGACTCAAGTCTGCCAAGGAGAACTTGGATGACCCCCTGGCCTCAGGTGGGTAGAGACCCCACGGCCTGCCTCAGGGCCCTTTGCCAAGATGCCCCCCAAAACCTATGTACCTCCACTCTTTACTCAAAGATGGCAGGATTCTAGCTCATGACCCATTGTCCTGCTTTTCTTTGCTCTGTCATTTCCCTCCCACTTCTATTAACTTCTGGCCAGAAGGGCAAGTCCCAGGCCCCTGTTCTGCACCGAACACTCCCATTTTCTCCCCAGCTGTCTTCCTCCCTCCAGCTCACAGGAGCTCATCTTGTCCTGCACAGTGGGTACAGTGCGGCCCAGATAGTCAAAGATCCTTTAATG